GTTGAAGTCACTGAGGTTACAGCAATGCAAATGAGAGCAGAATTTGGTCCAATGGTACTTCAGTGAGGTTGCATATGTAAAACAGCAGAATTTGACCTAATGTGTGTCAGATGAATAGGGATGTAGGAATTGTCTTATCAGATCATAGGGAATAAATGTCAGCGACTCTGCATTACTGATTTACCAGATGTTTGGAACTAGAATGATCTAGTGGTATATCATTTTAATAACACGCCGCACACTATGAAAGCCTGGTTTACACTGTTTTGTATTGGTATAGCTATTTTGGCTATGGGGTAATTTTTTTTACTGGAAGAGTCATACCAGTACAACTCTTAGTGTGGATGCAGGATAAAGATGCCTTAAAAGGTATAGCTTATTCCTCATCCCATATAGATAGGGCCCTACCAAATTTATGGTCCATATTGGTCAATTTCACGGGCCTAGGATGTTAAAAATTGTAAATTTCATGATTTCAGCTATTTAAATCTGAAATTTCACCGTGTTGTAATTGTAGGGGTCTTGACCTCAAAAGGAGGGGTTTTTGGGGGGAGGTGTCACAAGGTTATGGGGGGGGTTGCAGTACTGCTACCCTTACTTCTGCACTGCTGCTGGCAGGGTGCTGCCTTCAGAGCTGGGCGCCTGGCCAACAGCCGCCGCTCTCCGACCACCCAGCTCTGAAGGCAGTGCAGAAGTAAGGGTGGCAATGACCCCCCAAAATAACCTTGCGACCCTCCTACAACTCCTTTTTGGGTCAGGACCCCCAATTTGAGAAATGCTCATCTCCCCCATGAAATCTATATAGTACAGGGTAAAAGCACACAAAAGACCAATTTTCACGGAGGGAGAAAATATTTCACGGTCCGTGATGTGTTTTTCATGGCCGTGTATTTGGTAGGGCCGTCCACATAGGAATAAGCTATAGGGGTATAAGTATTTTTATACTGGTCTAAGTGAGTCCACACGAAGGAGAATGCGCTGCTTTAACTATACCAGTTTGGTTAAAGCAGTACAACTTGTGTGTCTGTATGCAAGCCCGAAGTCTGAACAGTAAAGCATTGCTACCAAATTCTTGTTGCACTTTTGAGCAGAAGCTGGATTTAATAACAATATCTCTGCTGGTTGATTTTGCTACCAATACCATGCGATTTTCATTATGGACTACTCACGTGCCAAAAGTAATCTTTAACCCTGAGCTGCTTTTGAATATGTGGATGCTCAAAATGAGTCTTAAACTGGTAAAATCATTTTACACAGTCATATATGGAGCTGCTTGGAAAATGGGGAAAGAATCCTGCATACATTTTTTAAACATTTTTCAGTGAAATTTCAATTATTTTCAAAATGTCTCAATCAGCGTTACTCACTTACACTAACTCACTTTAGACTCAAAAGCCATATTAACTTTATACTAACTAAAATAAATCAAACTCATATCTTTTGATAAGTAAAACAAACAGAACAACCAACAAATTCTTCTGATCCTTTATATATTTTCCATGGTTTCAACTCCTAGCAGTTTTCAGAGCTTCAGTTGTAAACAGAGTTAACCAGAGAGATGTGAAAGCATCACATCAATATTGTTCTAATGGAGGCTCGTTTTTACCTTCACTGGTTTTTCTTTAATAACCATTAGGATTACTTCTCTTTTACTGGTGATGAATACTTTTCTCCTCTTTACTGCTTACTATATTTGTCAGAGCCTGGTCTGATAAGAAGTCCATAGTGTTATCATGATTACTGCATATTAGTCCACAGAGTGCTGTGTTCCTATAAAATGCCTCTTCTTCTCACGTACAGTACATAGAGCCCAAACTGATTTTACTGATCCAGTAACTACTGCAAAGTACTCTGATCTGTAGTTTGTGTTCTTAAAAAAACCCATACAATTTACAATAATCCGCACACACAAAATCCATTTCAGGCTCTCCAGCATTTGAAATGGTTTTTATAGTATATACTAGAAATGTGGATTTCCCATCAAGAGTATTATATAGTGTTTGTATACTGCTATAACTCTACAAAGAACAAGTCCTACGTATCATTAACAGTCTCTGATATAAGCCATGTTGCTATACCAAAGTTCCAGGTACCAGTAGGTACAATCCAGTGAAATTAGGGGAAGAGAGCACAGGTGACAGTGTTTTTTGTTTAAGAAATGAAGTGTCTCTTGACATTTCACCATCTACACAAATAGAACATCTCATCTCATTAATTAGATCAATACCTCTGCTTTCACTGCACAAGACAAAACAAATTCAGGGTAATAAATAACCCTTCCTTGCTTATACCACACCCTAATAGGTTGATAAAGGATGGTAAATTGTTAATGGCTTTAACTTCAGCCATATAATTTCTGGGGTTACGTCCTAGCTCAGGAATACAACTTCCATCAGAATAAACCCTTCTTGAATTTAAGTGTCAGTTCTGCCCCCATATTGGACTACGGGGTTGCTCTTAAATCTACTTATGAGGGATCTACTTTGAAGACCGTTCAGATGACTGGCAAAGCTGGAAATACAGTGGCTCCAATTCTACACAGGACTGTGGAATTTTACAAAGGGCAAATGTTCTATAAAATAGGTATGACACCATATGAGTCACATAACCTCAGCTTCAAAATGTGTTTCAAATATGAACCATCCAGAGCAATCACTTTACAATTTCAATTATTAGAAACAATATGTCTAAGAGTTATCATTTACAAATCTATATCTGAAACATACTTGGATCTTTAGAAGTCTTCACATTCCCCTGCTTTTAATGTAAACAGTTTGCAAAACCAAAAGGCACAATATCTATGTTGGGAGGAGTAACTTTTTAACCTGGATTTTAGATTCTCAGGAACATGACTTGGCTTTTAATTTTTCTTCCTGCTGTATTTTAGTACTACCAGATTCACAGAATTATAGAAATTCAAAATAGAAAGAAATCCTAGCGCAGATCAATTTTCCTTTCACTAAAACAAACAAAACACAACATAACCCTTGCTCTTTTATTATTTCCCTCCAATGATTTCACAGCACCATGACACACTGTAATTCCAACTATGCATGGCATTTGGAACTCACACTGTCACTCACTTTCACCCCAAAACCCTCCACAGGTAAGTTATGAGTCTCCTCTGGTTAAGATGCTGCTTCCATGTCTGCCAAATTTAAGCTTAAAACTACCAGAATGACTTTAAAAATATATTCTCTGAGTCACAAAAATTCGACTCCATGCCCAGTGTTTTCTCATTTTCCATTCTGTGGATTTTTATTTTTTAAAGAAGAGTTTAATTTATGGTTGAAAGGTAAATATTGGAAAGGGAATTGTGGGCTGATGGAAGGTTCCAAGCTGAAGCAGGAGTTGAAAACCTGGTCTGGTGCTCAGAAAAGTCCTGCTTCGAAGGGAATTGAGATGTTTGAGGAGCAGAGCAAAGGCAATAAGGTAGCAGGAATCCGGCTGATCTAATTCCCTCCATCCTGCAAAAACTCCTGTGACACGCATCTAGGGAAGGGATGAATGTCTGGCAACAGCATCTCCCTCGCTCGCTGGCTACCTCTGCAGAGGCAACACAGCCCTGCGCTCCGCAATGCCAGGACCCACTCGCCAGCAGCCCAGGTGGGGAGCTCCCCACACCCCCCAGCTCGCCCCGTACCTACCCCGTCTAGGAGGAGGATGCGTTGCCACCGGCGGAGGAGCTCCCGGGCGGTGCTCTCCCAGCCTCGGGGGTCACCACACGCCACCCAGTGCCACTGCCCAGAGGAAACATGTCATGCGAGTCTCGTCCAGCCACCGCTGCAGCGAAGCGTCCAGAGCAGGGGCAGGGGCTCGGCCGGGGCCAGGGCTGGGCTGCTGCGGGCTGCCCAGAGCTCGGCTGACTTGGGGAAAGTCACATTTGCAGCGCGATCTGCCCTGACTGGTTGTGTAACTCGGCGGCGGGCTTAGCCCGTCCTCCTGGCATTACACAGGCGCGCGCCCTCCTCCCCTCCCTCTGGCCCTGGCACCGGGGAGCGCGCCGGGGCGCGAGGAGACCGAGGGAAGGGAGCGCGCGTGCGGGCCACCGAGCCAGGGCGCGCGCCTCCCGGGCGCTCGCCGCCGAGCTCCGCGGGGCAGCGGGGCTCGCGGACACCGGGAGCAGCGCGTCAGGGGCTGGCTGCAAGGAGCGCGCCGCACCACGGGAGCGCGCCTGCTGGGAGTAGGGGGCCGGGAGCGCGCCTTGGGGGAATGGCGGGAATGCGCGGAGAAACTGGGGCTCTGCTCCCGGGAGCGCGCTCGGCCCGGGCACGGATTCAGGTCCCGAGCCTGCTCCTTGACTGCCGTGCCCGCAGGATCGGGGCCCCGGGCTCGAGGCAGCAGGGCGCAGGGACTGGGTTGGCGCGGACCTAGGCGCTGCAGGTGGCGTCACACCGGGTTTGCACGGATCCTGGCTTCAGGGAGCTGGACATCCAGCCTGGATGTGCAGCGGTTCCGGTGCCTGGACCGCTCAGGGCAGAGCGGGTGCAGCTGGGGATGCAGGGATCGCGGGGTGCAGAGATTCCGGGCAGGGCGGGTGGGTGCAGCTGGGGGTGCAGGGATCTCGGGTAGGGCGGGTGAGGGCAGCTGGGGGTCCAGGGATCCCGGGCAGGGCGGGTGGAGGTAGCTGGGTGCTCTGGAAGCACCAGTGCCTAGTGGGGAACTCGCACGGAAAATAGGGCAGCCAGGACGCTCAGCACCTAACACCATCTCTAGCAATAGCATCCGCCCGGCTCCCTTGCTTTAGAAATGAGAGCTGGAGTTTGCCCCGGCAATGACAGGTCCCTCGCCTCCCTGCTGCCTCCCCGGCAGAGCAGCCCAGCCTGGCCTGCTCCTGGAGCCTCTCCTCTGGGGGCTGCTCGGCGGGGGGACCCCGTGGCCTTTCCAAAGTCCCAGTCAGAATTAAGTCATGCTCAGGGCCGTAGCAACAAAGAATGTGGCCCCCTCCAAACATATGTCCGGGCGGGGCCCCTTACTATGCAGAAACTGGAATGCGGTATTTATTTTGCCACTTTTAGGGGCCCCCTTCCTTGCGGGGCCCCCTCCTGTCGGAGGGTACAGAGGGCGCTCGCTATGCCTCTGGTCACGCTGCAAGGTGAGGCGCGTCCATCCTCCCTCCACACTGGCCCGCAGCCCCCTGGCAGCAAGACCAGGGCCTGGGGGTCGATCAGCAGCTCCAAGGGCCCAGGCCGGCAGCGTGTCCCTAGGTGACCTCGGAGGGGAGGACAGGACAGAGAGCTGTTCCTCCCCCTTCCCCCCCGGCGGGAGAGAGGGCTGCAGATCTAAGGAGGTAACACTACCCCCCCCAACCCCGTTGCTAATTCACATAACCTTTCTGCTCCCTTGACAAAACACGCTGCGCATATTCCAGCCCTGAAACAAGCTGTTCTAGGCGGTGATTAGTCATAGCAGGGGATGAGTCAGTGCTTTAACATGTGCTGGTGCCTTCTTCCTAGGATTCTCTCCCCCCCCCCCCACGCTGACATTTTCCCACTTTCACAATAACTGGGCTCCACATTTACTTTTAAAAAAAAGGCCAAAAGGGTTCAGGAAAAACCGAGGGCTCTCCCAAGCCAGGTAAGGGTGTTTGGAGATCCCTAGGCAGGGCTGCTTTTCTACCTGTTCCATTAGGTGGGGCTGCTTACCCCTGCTTTTGTTACCTCTTATTTCTGGAAGCACTCGATCCCAAAAGTTTTGGCAACAAAATTTTCTATTTTACTCCTCACCCTTCCCAAAATGTCAGAGGGAAGGGAGTGCCTCCACCTTCCCCTCTGCAATGGAGAAGTAGAATCCTTTGAAAATGTTTTTATGCCTTTATTATAATAGTACAATAGCACTTAAAAGCCCCAAGCAAACATTAGGGGCCTATTGTGCTAGGCACTATACAAACAAGCAGAAAAAGACAGCCTTCATAATCCAGGATTATGACAAGAAACAACAGCTACAAGGAATAAATAAAAGGTTAGGAAATGGGGTAGGATGATGACTGAGAATATCAACTGAAAAGACAAGTTAGGCAGTAGTTCACCAATGCATGTTAAGGCCCCTCGTTCAATGTACTTAAAGGTTAATCATGTTTGTGCTTGTAAGAGTGGAGCCTTAAACTATCACTATTAGGGATATCAATAAGAGAAAGTCATATTATGGCCACCTATGGTGAGTACATATTAGCCACTGGAGTGGGTGATAAGAACTGTGAGTAACTAAAAGAACTGCCAAATTGTTATGCAAAGTAAACATAAAATAAGGATAGTACCAGCTCAGGGTGGTTTTATTAGAGCTAACTCTTTGGCTGTCATGATAAAATACTATCTTATTATAGATACACTCTGAAGAGCAGGGAGGCAGAAAAAACCTGCCATAGAAAATACTGATAATGAAGAAGGGAATGTTTTTGAGGGTGTAGGTATAGTCATTTATATTGCCCTCACCTCAGAATAAAGTCCTGGTCTGAAGCAAATTTCATAACCTTGGGCCAAATCCTGGCATCAGTACTGAGGCAACAACCCCATTAACTTCAGTGGATTGGGCTTTCGGTAACTTGCTGTTGTCTGAGCTTAAGGCCAGTCATGCAAACAGTTATCCCTGTGAGTGATTCTTACTCCCATGAGTTGTCCCGGTGAAGTCAAGGGGCCGGATTCTTTTTTCACTTCTACTCATGTAACGCACAAACATCTCTGTTTAAAAGTAATGGAATGACAGTGGTGTAAAAGTAGTTTTCAGACATCACTTGTGAGAATGTCCCTAGGAGCATGATTCTGATCTCACACCCGCTTTACTCTACTGTAACCCGACTGGTGTCAGAGTCATTCCCTACTTCTTTTGGGTGGTAAGGTAAAATTACAGGTAGTTGTTCTCAAGACGTGAATAACCCGCACTGACCTAGATACATTCACAGATGTTATGTCCAACAAGTAATTATGTAGGTGACTAGTCAATTAGTAATATTTGTACTGTTACCTGTGTACAGATATAGTCAATAGTTCTGTGCCAAGAAAAAACAACAACAGGCTGTGCAGCAGACTAATGAATTAAAAAAAAAATTCAGACCCCCAAAGTGAGACAGGATGTTTTATAACTGAGTATGCTTAAAAAAAGAAAAATCTATTGGCCCTAAAGAAAAAAAGTGAAGTTACTACTCTAATAAAGAATCCTTAGTGATACTGATCGTTATTACTGCTCACTAGAGAAAGAAATCCTCCCACATCAGCTAATTTCTCTTATAGAGAAACAGAAGATGTATCCCAGCATTTTCTTCAACTTCTCAAGTGTAAAAAATGTCTTATAAAAAACCTGGTTACGGATTAAAAATACAGCGTGGTGATCCTCATTGCACAAACTGGCAAAGCTGGTTCTCACTTCTGTAAGAGTGGATCTATCAGGTCTGGTCTACACTAAAACCTGACCAGAGCAAAACTAGGGCACCTCTTTCTATTCCATTCCAGAATAACCTCTATTTTTCTTTCACTCAATGTACAAACAGCTATTGAATGAGAAGTTCATCTCCTTTTGCTTTCACTTAGCTTGCAGTGAGTTTGCTCAGACTGAAGTGCCACTTGTAGTCAGTAATCGCTTCAAAGAAAAGAAAAATCATATTCCAGAAGCCGTCATTTGGAGAGATGTCCATTGCAGATGTTCCCCCTCCCCCCATAGACACCTTTCAGCGAGGCAGGCATCTGATGCTGAAAAGATGGTATAAGTGGGTTCTATTTTTGCAGCTATGAACACATATCCCTGGTTTTGAGGATAACTACTTATTTGCTATGGAACTGAGAAGAGACTGCAAAACAATAGACATTATGATAGGCTCAAAGGACAATAATTATAGGGTACCAGAAGGAATAAGATCCGAGTTTGATAAGATTGAACCACTGAATCTAAAAAGTGAATTTAATCAAGCTGAACAAGAAGAGGACAAGTGTGTGTGTGTGTGTAGGGGGGGAGGATCTATCCTGTCATTCTGACACTTAGTATCTACCTTATAAGCTTTTAATTTTCAAAGCCTGTACAAACAGTTGTTTAACCCCAAAAAGATGGGTTAAAAAATGCAGGCCAAATTCTGCTAGCCTTACTCCTGTAGAACTCTCATTGGTGTCACTGAATAGAGGTTAGGCCAGGCATGTCAACATAGTTTTTGTACCACTAAATATCAGTGTAACGGTATATAAATTGGTGCAACTGCCTAGTTACACTGGTGCTTTATACTGGCATGGCTTATTCCTCTATAAGTTTACTTGGGATTCTTATGAAGCAAGCAAGTTAGTGGCTCAGCCCACCTGGCATCATCAGAAATCTAGTCCTGCCAGGAGAGCATGGCCCATGGAGAGGATGCAAAACTACAACTCCCATGAGTCACTGCTGTGGCTCAGGCTGTCAGATTCATAGGATATGAGAGACACAAGGTGGGTGAGGTAATATCTTTTATTGGGCCCATATCTTGTGATGGAAGAAAAATTTTGAGTTACACAGAGCTCTTCTTCAGGTCTAGGAAAAAGGTAATCTGAGCATCACAGCTGCATACAAGGTGAGATGTGTTAACCCCTTATGCTTAAATTTTTCACACCTTGTATGCAGCTAAGCTGACACACACTGATTACGTTTCCCAGACATGAAGAGAGCTCCGTCTCTTCCAGAAGTTGGTAATATATGTGAGGTGAGATATATATATATATCTCTCACCTCACCCATCTTGTGTGTGTCACATCCTGGAACCAACATGCTACAACACTGCAACAGAGATTCATGTAAACCCACAATGAGTGTTCATTTCAGTTTCTACAGAAAATGTAAATTTCAGCAAAACCTTATTTTCGAAACAGAAAAATTTTCACTCAAATTTTTTTGACTAGCCCTACTACAGAACCTGTCAGGACAGGAAGAGGGGCAACTGCTATCCCTAAGCTGGGTAGAGTCAGGGACTGTTTCCATGAGGGTGTCTGTAAGTAGCTCAGTTTAAAACAGCAGCAAAATCCTTCCATTTTAAATCCTGCAACAAATATCAGATGGGAGTGGAAGGGGGGAGCAGGAGGGAGGAGGAGGAGGGAAATCCCATGCTTGTCAGTGTTGCA